TAAGATAGAAGAGTAACAGTTGTCCTGAAAATACCCTATATAGAAGATATTTAATGCGTCTATAGAGTAGATACACATTTAAAGATTATTTATTGGAAAATGTAATTAATAATAATATGTCTACATTGATTATTTAAATGGTCTACAATAATTATGAGTAAATATTTTGTCTACATTATTATTGCTGAAAAATACTCATCTATTTTTATTATATTAATTATATCACAATTAGTACTGTTTTGTGAAAATCGTGATCTTGTATGTTCGTGTATTAGCTCCGACTTCAGTTAGTTATCAGTTATATGTATCTCAACGCATATACTACAGAGAAGATAAGTAAACTAAGATTTTAATTAACCTGCTAATTTATAAACGGCTGTAGTTAGGATATTTTAATTTAATTCTTGTTTTAATGTATTTATTGTTAACAACGATAAACATTGGCTGTGTATTTTCCCGGGAATGATTTAAACACCAATTTCAATATTAATATTACCTAAGTGAAAAGATAAACAAAGTTTAGACTGACAAATTAATATTCTATTTAATTTTTATTTTATTTAGGATAATGAAGAAGAAAGTTCTCGGTGATAGGAAAATCGTTTCCCGGGAAACATAAGTAGGAACCCCAAAACCTGGACTATTGAATTTCTGTTAAATATTATTTTCATTTTATTGTCGTAAATTGTAAAATCCTAAATACGCTGACTAATCATTTTTGGCACTTTTCAAGATTCAGATTTCATTGTCTTTAGAGTTTGTAGAACTAAAAAAATCGGATAAATCAGTTTTTAAGACGCGTTAGTCTAAAACAGAAATTTTTAACGCTTGCAAACGTAGTAGAGGCTCAAGAATTACAATTATTATAGTAATTATACATTTTTAAATACTACACGTGTTATATAGATATATATATATATATATATACAGAATAAAAACATAGCGACATAGCATTTTATTTACAATGTCTCCTATAAGCTCGGGATTATTTTGTTTGTTCCAAAACAATATTTACTACTTTATTGGTCCAATACCGTCAGCGATGATAAGTGATTCCAAATATTTGTTTAAGAGAAAGCTATTGAACTGTTGGTCTCGGAAACTCATCAATCCTTGATTAACCCGCTTATAGACTTAAATGTCTACCTGACAACAAAAGCCATGCCTGTTTCAAGACAGACATAGAATCATCGGTAGCTAACAAATCATAAAAAACGACTGCTTTTAATATTCTCGAGAAATCAGGGTGTTTTTTATTGCCCACAAGGACAATAAAAAATGCACCTGATGGTGAGTGTTTACCGTCGCCCATGGACTTCAGCAATGCCAGCGGCAGAGCCAAGCTGTCTACTAGTCTAGATAAAGAACTAGGAACTAGGACATTATGAATTAAAAGAGATCTTACTTAGAAGCCTTCTGCCTAGCGTTAAGTACTCTCCGCAAGCCTCGTTTGAAGAAGAGCATGTCATGGCACTCGGGAAACACCGTGGAGGGGAGCTCATTCCAAAGTCGGATGATTGAAACTTGGAATGCCATATTTGCATTCCATTAACACGGATACAGGCGTCTTATGACTAAGCCGAGAACGTCTATTGAATGCACACTAATAAAGACAGTGAAAAACACAATCATATATTATTATGTAGATACTTCGTTTTTTTGTATGCTTTTTTTTCCTGGAACTCTTAATTTTATTTTTTTTCAATTTTTTTATTTTCATATGTACTATGTAATTTTGTTTTCAATAGCCAATTTATAAGCTCGCTTGCTACGTATATTAATACAGGTTCGTTGAATACATATATTATTTTAATTGCAATCCAGATAAGATATAAGTACTATGGTAATAGGTTTACGATTTAGATAATACTAGCTGAGTCCTGCGATCCTACCCGCGGTTATTGTCATACGACGCCATGGGGTGAAAATAGTCTATATCATTAGCTACCTATCAGTGAAAGTCTCGTCAAAATCGGTCTAGCCGTTCCAGAGATTAGCCGGAAGAAACAGACAGACAGACAAAATTGTAAAAAATGTAATTTTTGTTAGTTTGGTGTATATAATTCAAATGCATGTAGTAAAAAGCGTTTTTTTTTTTTTCAATATTACAAACAGACATTCCAATTTTATTTACAAATGTATAGATGTAATGTACTGTAATGATTGTGATTTGTTTTGAGCATAAATAATTCAAAAAAATAAGAAGAATTAGAGTCTAAGCTTGAACCTTATTTGTTTAACGGTAGGCAGCGGCTTGGGTCTGCCTTTGTCGTTGCTGATGTCCAATTATTAAAATAAGATAATCTTGCGATATTCGTCTCCGAAAGATTATCGTGTGCAACCGCGTTAAGTAATTACAAAATTTAAAGTAATTGTGATGACATTTCGTTAATTAAGGAATAACGTTAATTAAGTTTTTAAAATCATTACGAATCTACCAGAGACCAACGGTTCTCGTGTGCACCAAGAGATATATGCCTTCTGAATAAGATTGAACATAATTGTGATAAAAGTCGATGAAGACAATTAAAACTGTTACTTTCCGTAATAATTCTGGTATTAAACAATAATAATGTTTATTATAACTCTTATTAACAACTATGATTTGTATTCGTTTCTTTAGTAGGCAAAAACTATTTAATTATCAAATTAAAAACGTGATAAATATGAATCTTTAGTAAATCTCTCAATGCACATATTATTTGGCAAACGTAATGCATGCACTATATACAATATAAATAAGTTGTATACGTTACACAAAATTATTGTCTACAATATTGTATACATATTTTTTAAAATATATTGTCAAAGTCACATTCGCAAAATATAGCGTATACAATTTTGATTTATAAGCATCTGGGTACATCTAGAATTTTCGGCATTTTATTTTGTCTATAAAATAATGAATTGCCTGTTCAATTCGCCATTGAAATTTGGTAAATATGAATGAAGAACTATAAGGTATGTACTGATTTTGCTTTAACAGTATTACATGGATATGAATTTAACAAAAACACATATATCTACAAATGTACGTACGTACACGACGTTTAAGAATACGAGAAACATTGTGTCTACATATGACATTGTAAATATGTATACATTTTATTTACACGAATTCACCCTGAATATAACGGGTATTTATTGTTTATTCACAAAAATCTGTGACGTAGCATCCAAAAATTTACACATTGTGTCTTTACTATAGCTAAGCAGATGCTTAGAATCAATTTTGGATAAGTTTAAAAAACGCTATCAGCTTTCTGTCGTGCTAAAATAAAAATAAAATGTCCGATAACTTTTCATCGGATATTGAAGTTAATCATGTTGTATATTTTTAATCACGCATTATTTGGGCAGAAACCTCCTTCTCCGTGCGTCATGTTTCTCAGTACTGAGGGTCGTAAACTTTACGGGGCACTTTTGTTAGGACTATGTAGGAATGGAGGACCATTCCTTCCAATCCCCTGCGCAGTGGATAGCGACATTGATGCTGGATTCCAAGGTCGTTTTAATTAGATCGGACCAGCGCATGGAACTACAAGAACAGTGATGTAACAACAAAACATCCATATATTTATATGTATTCTATCTATCTGCCTTTCAGCCCACAGATGTCCACTACTGGACATAAGTCATCCTCAAGCCCCGCCACCAGTCCATATATGTGACATACGAGATTTATTTTCTCATGACCGTTTCCGATTTCCAGGTTAATCTATTCTAATATATAAATCTACAGTGGTTTTTACGGATGTTCCGCTATAACTACTGAACCATGCATCCGATTGACTTGAAACTTGGTATCCATGTAGCAATTATATGTACTCAATGGATAGGCTAATATTTATATGAGTGTTGGACTCCCTAATAATAATGACAATAAATAATAATGTTAATTTTGAATGCCCAGCGAAGCGGGAGAGTATGCCTAGTTATAGTATATTATTGGATTGTAATATTTATAGTAAGTGTTAGAGTGTCTCTGGGGACTTCTCTCAGAGGTGGAGCTGTATTTAGAGTCGATAGTTAAGCGACATTAAAAGCGCAAAGGCATATCGGAATTATTCGCTCGTCCACCCACTTAAGCAATAAAGAAAATAAATAAAAAACTATGTCATTCACACGACAGAATCACCAGCAATTTGGGCAATACTTGACTCTTTTAAACGTATCCAAAATCACATCACACCTTTGCTTTCGAAGCCACGTCAGTTATTGTTATACGAAGATTATTTGATACAAGCTAAATACAGTTTCTATTAAAATACATTTACTAATGTTTTTTTTTTAATTTCTAATTGTTTGTAAATTGGTCGATAGGAAAACTGAATAAAAATGACAAAAACACATTTTAATCTAACTAAACACAAGTTGTCAGTGTTAAAGATATTAAAACTGTATCCGAAATATATGATTAAAATATAAATAAAACGAAATACGTGTGATTAAATTTTAAATACATAACTTGATTTTTTAATTAGAATATTTCGGATTCGATTTTGGTTATGTTAAAGTAAATAGCTAAAGTTTTGTTATTAGTTAAAAAATACTTTTGTCATTTCGTTTGGAAGAAGTTTTAGGTAAATATATATCATTGAAAGCACTACAATAACATTCAATAAATAGAATGCGTATAATATTTGTATACATTTAATAAATATAGATAGCAATAATATATTATTTTGATTAAAAATTTGTTGGTAACATGTCTATAATATACTATATAGACAAACACTAATATGATATTCGGGCAATATGTATACAGTTTAAATATTTATTATTGTAATTCTATTAATACAATGTATACGCTCCTAAGACGTCTAAAATTCGTTTACAAGCAAACCCCGTTGCGTGATCATTTAATGTTAATATTAAGTCAGTGAGTTCAAAATTTTATGTGTTACGCCTCGGCGATTCGCTCCCAAGTTATAATATCTCTAACCGCTGATTGACTCCAGGTCTTCAGGTCTCTGGTCTGGTCTTGGCTAGTGGAGTCCTTACTCCTCGTTCTGATAGTTCACGTAACGCACTGAGGATTTCTCACCCATGATGAGGCTCTGAAATTACGAATGCTATTAATCAATAATGATCTTATAACAATTGTTTTTGTGATTACGAGCTGTTGTATCCTTTTGTTGTACTTTTAATGGGCAGCAGCAAATATTATATTCTTTCATCATTCCACTAATTTGCTTATACAAGCTGTATAGAGTAATGTTACGCCGGTAAGAGTAACGCCATCTATCGCAGAATAGTCGAACGAATATCGAAGGATCTAGTTGCACCTAGAACGCTCGAGAAGTACAACGCCATCTATTGTCAGATAGCAGAAACATAATACTAGAGATGTGTGGAATATTCTCGATAATTTTAGGGATGTGGTATCGGCTATAAAAGCGTTGCAGGGATGGCACGCAGTCAGTTAGTAATCGGAACTACTCGAAGCGAAACAGCGAACGGATCACCTGAAGCGAAGCGGAAGAAGTGAATTGAGAGTTTAAAGGTGTTTGTTGAGTGTTTTAAGTGTTCTAAGTGTTTAATATAGTGTTAACTTGTAATTCGGTGGAATTTTTTGTTTATCCCGCACCTCAGCTCGTAACAGTAATATAAAAACCGCGCTATTCGGCGATAGATGGCGTTACTCTTACCGGCGTTACAGGTATATTCGAAAACGGACTTCGCCTATCAGCCTATCAGCTTCACAAAAGTCCGTTTCTCATACCGTAAACAAGTCCGATCTTGTCTCTGAAAGACCTCGTACGCACTGGCTAAAAACCCCTCACATAGTCCCGCAGTCAACGTGTTAAATGGCTATAGTCCACCGGAGTTTGTATGGCGAAAATCTACGTGAGATCACTGCTGGAGATGATGATGATGATAGTATTTTAATCACCTGTTTCTCGTCACGGGCTGGGGGCGAGCGCAACAACAGCAGGAACGGGGCGTAGGCGAAGTTCAGGATGGCGATGATGACCAGCATCCACTCGAAGCCGATGCTATTTACCAGGGCGCCAGAGAACGCGGGACCTTATTGAAAGAGGCGTTAGATTAGAAAATGCAATGTCTCAACTTATTCTTTTTTATTGCCCCTGTGAGGTGATGATGGTGAGTGGTTTCTGTTGCCCATGGACGTCAGCAATGCTAGGAGCAGAGCCAATCTACTGCCTACCGTAATTCACACTATATCTTTATAAATTATAGCCTATGTGCTATTCTGATATGTAAGCTTTAATAGTAAAGTTTCCTCAAAATCCATTGAGTAGTTTTTGCGTCAAAGAATAACAAATATACATCCATACATTCTTACAAATTTTTGCGTGTATAATATAAGTAGGATAAGATAGTAAGATACACAAATGGTCTGAATATTTAAAATATTATAGAAGGAGTAAATTCTTCTTGAATACTCATTTGTATACGCTTACCGACAGCGTATCCCAAGCAGAAGGCCGTGTCTCCGATGGCGTAAACTGATCCATAGACGGCTGCGTGGCGGATGTCGACCAGGAAACCCAGTTCCGGCATCATGGACGAGTCCACCATGCCGATGGCGAAGCCGAGACCAGCGTTGGGGATGATCAGGTGCTCCAACTTGCGAGCCATCGGGATCTGATGTACCAGGGTAACATGAGAGCGTGGAAGTAAATTCTATTGCACGTAACTCACATAAAACACGGTAGTTACGGTCCTACAAAGTCCCGTGTTTTGTGAAACCGTGTTATATGAGACTATTATTCGTCTATTATTTTTGTAACTATTAATCATAAAAAATAAGCAGTAAATTTTCCCGTCATTCCATGTATTGTGTGTTCGTAGTGCATAATGTAATTTTCTAAATAATTTTAATTACAAAAAAAATGTGAGCGATCACGGGACGCCTGGCAGATGTGAAATATCGACATTATTTTGTAAAAGTAATATGCAGAAAAGAACAGATTGTGATAGGAACTAAATATGTCATAATGATAAAATATTACGAAAAAATAATTTGTTTTCAAGTAAAACACAGGTTATGTGTACTGTAGTAAACAACACTGTATAGTATACACTACGGAGTATACACTATAGGTATCCGAGCTCAGTGTAGCGAGAGAGATGGCTTAACGCCGGATCGAGTGGGAGAGAATCGCACAGTCGATTGAGCATGGCGACGCGTCGCCACGGCATGCGTCGCCACGCCAGAAATCGGTCTTACGTGCGGCTATAGATGTTTCACATCAAAATCTCATTTTCGTGTTGTAGAATTACCGTGTTATAAGAGAGTTTTGGGGAATTTTTCTTTACGTGTTAGAGTGGAATCGTTCAAAAAAATTACCGTGTATAGGAAGGTTACTCTTATTAGCTACCATTTTGTCTAAATATGTGCTCAAACATGGTTTACTCTTGACCTCCACTGGTACCACCTAGCTATTTCTATGACGTAGCATTTATGTGTTTAGGCTTACATATCATGGCCGGGACAGATGTAGAATGCAAACGTAGTGATTATATGCTCTTTGGAATGCAATGTAACGACCGTCTGGTGTAGTGGTAAGTGACATGGTCACTACACAAGGGGGTCGCGGGTTCGAATCCCGCCAAGGAAAGATATTTGTATGATAAATATAAATGTCTTTTCCAGGGTTATGGATGGATATTAAATATATGTATGTGTATAATAAAAATCTTACATTTATTTCCGTTATCTGGTACCTGTAACACAAGTTCTTTACGAACTTATCACGGGACCAGTTAACGTGGCGTGATTGTTAGTAAATATTTATTTATTTATTTATGTAGATTTTATTATTATTCAAGGTAGGTGACATTCGCCATTGTCTATGGATTTTAATCAGGTAACTTTTGCTTCAGCATTAACTTAACGCCAAATAGGAACATCGGCTTGTTTTTACGTAAAAAAATAATATATATTAAAAAAAAAGTACTAGGATCTGATAAGTTCGTGAAGGTATCAAATGAGCTCCCATATATTTTACGAGTTTATCGTCATTGTATTGAACTGGTATTTGAAATTTCGAGTTAGAGGAAGATTTCGTAATTTAATTATGTTTTTTTTTAAATGAACTCACAAAGATGAGGCAGAGTCCAATGATGACGAGTCCGGAACAGGCGGCCAGCCAGCGACCCATTTTGTGTCCGAGGGGGCCGAAAAGATTGGTGCCTGAAACAGAATAGCTATGTCGAAAATTGATTTCGAAACGCTCTTTGCATTTATGCCCTCCTGGTACAATTCTTACGAATGACAAACAAATTTCTAGATGGGTGGACGAGCTCACAGCCCACCTGGTGTTAAGTGGTTACTGGAACCCATAGACATCTACAACGTAAATGCGCCACCCACCTTGAGATATAAGTTCTAAGGTCTCAGTACAGTTACAACGACAGACCCACACTTCAAACCGAATCTCATTACTGCTTCACAGCAGAAATAGGCAGGGCGGTGTTACCTACCCGCACGGACTCACAAGAGGTCCTACCACCAGTAAAATATGTTCACGTACCTATCAGATAGCAGATGCTGGCGGGAAGGAAAGCGACTCCCTGCTGCCACCTCCTGGCTTCCATGGTGTCGGCCATCCAAATCGGCAGGCTCGGCTCCAGCATGGCTATGCCAACATTTGCGAAAGTAATGGCTCCTGTGGGGTAAAATAAAATTGGTTATCTCTAAAGTCTGTTTGCGGACGATAGTTTTACGTGATAACGTCAGTAGCAGAACTAATCGAACCGCTGAGCTAACGTCGCGCTAGAAGAGAGATAAATGCGTCACAAGTCAACGCTTGAGCTGATCGTGCCTCTCTATCGCTTGTTCCGTGCTCTCGCTTACACTATCAGGCGGAACGTGACACATTTTTATGCGTGTAACCGTGTAACCGGCGTTCATCAGACAGAAACTTCAAATCCAATTCATAAAAAAAATTTAGTAAGTTATCTTTGAACACTGTACAGCATCTAATAATTGTCGTAAATGTTCTCCCAATAAATATATAAGTTAATAATCAACTATTATTGACTGGTTCTGTCCGAAAATATTTTAATCTTTTCCTAATTTTGTTTTTTCGATAAATCTTCGTGACAATAAATAGCATATCTTTTTTTGGTTTGGTCATGTGAGAAATCACAAGTCTACCTTTTTTTGCTACCTATTGGTAACCTACAGGACTATTCCAGCTAGTCACGGATAGGTGAGCTCACGGGTTCTCTAATCTGGGAGGAGTCACTAACACTGGCTCTAGCATGAGTAGTGCTTCGCTAAATCTACCACCGGATCGGAATCGCGACCCGCTGACATTATCCGGCGAGGAACTCAGTGGATTGAAGTCTACGTCGGCATTTCACTGACTTACCAGCCGCAATCAATATGTATGGATCGGTCACAAGTTGCTTCAGAGAAGGAGGCTCTGTCTCTTGCCTCACGACGCCCGGCTGAAGTATCATCAGCTGCAGTACTGGAATCGAAGACCACGAGGGCGTAAGGTGTTGGAAGAAAAAAGTGTGCATGTGTGTGCAAGTCACACACGGTAGAAGTGAAACCTATGAAAAAATAAAATAAATCGCAAGGGTCAACCACTCCGCAATGCAATGGAGCAGCCTCACCCTGGGGAAACCACCTGCACGATCACGGTATCCCGACTAGACATGTGTAAGTAATGCGAGTGATATTACTCGGGTAATATTACTCTACGATGTAATGCAACATCACACATTACGCGAAGGAAACAAACATCACACTATCACCCAACATGTTTCTTTCTTTGTCGTGTAATGTTGCTTAATACACGAACGGAACCGAGCGAGCGAGACAGACCGATCGACGCAAAATAAATGAGCAAGCGACACGGAATTATTCCTAGTGATTTTGAACCGTATGTCCTGGCCGCTAGGTACATTTTTATACCTATGGTACGTCTGAATTTTAATATAGGTATTTGTGTTTATATTTTTCATGCGGCCAGCCGGTAGTTCCCCGCAAGTACTTACTTAATTTTTTATTCGCAACTTTTGTAAAATCGCTAGTCGCTCGTAATTGTTTAGTAATATTTCATATTAATTTTTGTGTTTGATTTGAATTACTTAAGCACTTGTTTGAAGATAGTTTTATTATTTGTTTTAATGCGTGTTTAATAAGTGAAAGAAATAACGGCGTCTAAATGAAAGTACAGTCCTCCTTGGATGCACTTTGAGGATATCGCGCCGAAACAATGCATCTACTGCTCTCGTATATTAACATTATTGTCGAGCTCAATTTGCAGTCTAAGTCGCCATATGAAATCCGTTCATCCCACAATAAATTATATTAAGTAAAAAATAAAATTATTATATTATTAAGTAAGTCAATCTGTCAAGTAATATAACAGTGTATTACAATACAAAGTTCATACTTTGTATTGTAATACACTACTGTAATGACACACCCGAATCATTACCTAAGTGATGTGTTTATACACATCACTTAGGTAATGATTGATGAAAACATTACACATCACTCTTAACATTACTCGGTGCGTTCAATAGATACTGTGACGACGAATACATTGTATCTATACACCCGAATCATTACCTAAGTGATGTGTTTATACACATCACTTTGAACGCACCGAGTAATGTTAAGAGTGATGTGTAATGTTTTCGAGTAATATCACCTATCTGTAAAAGTGATGTCATATCACATTACATTGGGAAGTGATGTTTTGCGCAAGTCTAATCCCGACGCCAGGTAGGTATAATTAGGCAAGAGAAATACGAGAACATCTATCAACTGTGTAACATCTTGTCATCGCGATTCAGGAATTTTTGAATTTACGTGCAGTGACATCTGTTGATAACAAACTAAATAGAAATAATTGTAAACAATCTTTTATAGTATGAGGTAGCGCCCTCTGTGAATTGATATTTTAACTTCACGTATAATGTGTTCTATCTCATTCTCTCGCCGGCTGAATCCTATACATTTATGTGTTTGTGTCTCTATGGACTTATTTTTTCGTTTCGTTTTATTTCGTTTCATCGAGTTTGAAATCACAACGATTCTAAAGAAGTTTCACTTCAAAAACTATATAACTTGATAAAAAGGTATTATATCCCAAGTGAAGCTTACATCCATCGCCGAGAGCCAAGGCGGAGAGCATCAGGAAAGGAGCCGTCTTTCCCACGAACTCATACATCAATCCGCCGAACGGAGGGCCGATGAGTACGCCCAGAGCGAGACCGCCGAGAGCGATGCCCATAGCGTTGCCGCGTTCCTATTGGAATACTTCCTCGTCATTATGCGAACCTGGTACTTTTTGAGTTGCAATCGAAAATTGTTACTCTAAAAATCGAGACTGTTTAAACGCTTTGTTGTGGTCTATGGGCTCGGGTAGCTTAACATCATATGGCTTGTAGTTCTACCTATTTAGATTTAAAAAAATCTAGCCATAAATATTGCAATAGCAACTTACTTGTATTAAAGAAAAAACTGAACAAAATAGAAATGTGAAAGTTATCGGATTTAGCGATAGGCCATAGATGTTTTACTGGTGGTAGGACGTCTTGTGAGTCCGCGCGGATACTTATCACCACTGCCGTGAAGCAGTAATGCGTTTCGGTTTGCAGGGTGGGATAGCCGTTGTAATTATACTGAGATCTTAGAACTTATATCTCAAGGTGGATGGCGCATTTACGTCGTAGATGGGCTCCAGTAACCACTTAACACCAGGTGGGCTGTGAGCTCATCCACCAATCTAAGCAATAAAAAAAAAGTCCATAAGCTATAATGATGACTGCTTTGTGGCCCACTTGGTACAAACAATATACCACCAGTTTTCTTGGCGATACGACCAAGCTGCTTATATCTGGCAAATTCAAAGTTCTAAGAAGAGAGGAATGGAGTGTACCTTATCATCAGGATATCTTTCGGCGAGCATACCCATTCCTGACACGGATGAACACGAGGATCCTATACCTTGCAGCGCGCGAGCTACGAAGAGTACTCCGTATGAGCGACCAAAGGCGAATACTGGAAGAGGAAGTTAAGCATTGGTCCTTTGTCAAGTTTGGCAACGAAACCATTTTTGGACTGCGTCTCTTTCCCTACCCATTTGCTGGTAGCCTAAGGGGCTATTTCAACTACGCCCGGTCGATGAGAGAGTTTGCTAATACTAGCCCTAGCAAGAGCAGTGTGCGGTGTGCGGGGTTGCGCATCCACTTTTTCATGCACTTTTTATAATTTTTAAGTAGAATTATTAAAATCACCAGCCCGACGATGGTTACTAGGGTGCCTAATAGGATGTTATTTGTGTGTATATGATCTTCCCTGATTGCTGTTGCGCTATTTTCTCCAGCAGCCGCGTTTTGTGTTATAATGACTTCTTTTTCTTCTTGTTTCGAGTATGATTTTCCCATTTTATTTCGTTTATATCGAACGGATATTACGGTGCAAGTGCGTATATAACTGTGCATGTGCACGCGGCGATTTTTATCGCACGACTGACTAGGGTCGCCATGCGGTGTGCGGGGTTCGCGGGATATAATAAAATGCACGTCTTAATTGTACAACGCTATATTTCTGACTGCCTTACAACTAACTTACACACTACAAGTGCTTCGCTGAATCTATTACCGGCTCGGAATCGCGATCTACTGAGAATATTCAGCGAGGAACTCTGTGGGCTGTGTCTATCAGAGTCAACATCTTTCTGCAGCGATCTTTGAGTTATCTCCGAGAATTCATCATGAAGGAGCGAAATTATGTGAATTGCTTCTGTTAATTTAGTGCCTCTTTAGAATCACACGTTAATGTTGGCTTATTGACCGCTAAGTATCTGTTTTACTGGTGGTAGGACCTCTTGTGAGTCCGCGCGGGTAGGTACCACCACCCTGCCTATTTCTGCCGTGAAGCAGTAATGCGTTTCGGTTTGAAGGGTGGGGCAGCCGTTGTAACTTTACTGAGACCTTAGAACTTATATCTCAAGGTGGGTGGCTCATTTACGTTGTAGACGTCTGTGTGCTCCAGTAACCACTTAACACTAAGCTGTAAGCTCGTTCAATCATCTAAGCAATAAAAAAAGAATACATACTTAGTGTAGACAGGAACATCAGTACGAAGCCCGTGAACATAGGGACGCTATAGCCGATTCTGAAATAAAAAGGGGCTTAAGTCGGTATGGTCTAGAAGATAAGACGGCTGGTCTATTCGTAATTGGGGATGCGCTTGTGCTGGGGTTCGAATCTCGCCACAGACACATTGTTCTAAAGACGTGTCCGTCTTCAAGCTGTGTTTGCGAAGAGGCCTCTGCGATTTGGCTGTGTTCCTTACATTTCGAACGTTCATGAAGGCACCTATTTACCTCTAAACCAGTGTTTCCCAAACTTTTTTATGCTATGCCCCACTGTAACCTTTCTAAATTTTTTATGTGTCCATGTATAATTTTTAAAATAAATAAAATATTTGTTCATTTAAGGAACATAAATCACTATGAAATTGTTATCAAAACACAGTAAGTAATATTTCAAAACATATATTAAGAAACTGAAATTCAAAATAATTGTAATACAGATTTTCTATATAAATTTACTGCGATTGTCCCCCTAAATTGTCAAATTGCTCCCTTTGTGGGGCGTGGACCCTACGTTGGGAAACACCGCTCTAGACCGTATGCTCATCTGACAAAACATATACTAAACTCATGACTACGAGCTAATTCGACGTCGAAGGAATAACGCAGTTTATTTTCAGTACAGTATTTATTACTGGTGATAAAATTCTCAATAGAACTAACATTCGAGAACATTCCAGAACGTTTTAGATTTGTCGTCTTGTTTATGTTGATATTCTGATTAGAAGACTTTCGACATAATTGGGAGAGTTAGGAAATGTTCTATAACATCCAAGTTTATGCTTTCCGACGAAAGATGGCGTTACTAAGGATTAGACATCCGGTGCATTCGTATCTAGCGATGCACCGGTGTTCGAATCCCGCAGGCGGATGCCAATTTATCTAATAAAATACGTATTCAACAAATATTCACGATTGAATTCCACGGTGAAGGAATAACATCGTGGAATAAAAATCAAACCCGCAAAATTATAATTTGCGTAATCACTGGTGGTAGGACCTCTTGCGAGTCCGCGCGGGTAGGTACCACCGCCTAGGAGTGGGTGATATAAATCGTATATAGATTCAATATCTATATATCGCAGCAATATCGTTGAATCCGATATCGCCCCGCACGAAATCTATATATCGATATCAGCCGATACACGATATTGCTCGATGTGATGCGCATCGCCATATCGTACCGATTCGTGAATCGAAATCTATAAAACGATATCAGCCGATACACGATATTGCTCGATGTGATGCGCATCGGCATATCGGACCGATTCGTGAATATCAGCAATATTCGTTTGGTTCGTATCGAATCGGCCAGAGTGAGTGAGCGGACGATATCCCTATCGTGCGCTCACTCACATATGATGAATGAAACAGAAACAGGCATTATCCATACAATTATAAACCTTATATTTAAGTCCATACGTCTGTAGATTATTCTTAGTGTATCAGCAGGATACAATTTAGGAAAAAAGTTTCAACTTTCGACCCTAATTAGAATGCAGTATAGCCTATTTGCACCGTTGAATTTAATTTCACGCGCTTTGACCTTGAACTAAAATTTTTGGATAAGTGTTTATAAATACTTAAAAGTTTTTTGTATTTGATTTTTAAAGTACACATTTTTCTATTTTTAGTTAAATCCAAATAATTGAGTTTATTTGTTGTGTTTGTATTAAACTTTTGAAAGTTTAGAAACTTTTATTTTAACATAAACTTAGTAAATAATAAAATTTCTGAATTAATTTTGTAGTGTATGATGTATAAATATTATCAAATGAACTTCTAAATACGTCTCCGATATTTTCTCGAGACTTCATCTAGGCAATACTCACGTTAGGTACCTTAGGCGCGAACGAAATCGCGAATGTTACCTAAAATATATGTATTTAGTATTATGAAATATTCTACCTAATCTACACTCTTTTGGTATATTTTGTAATTTTAAATTAAGACACAAAATACTAAAAACTGAAAATAATGTAGCCGGTCCTAAGCCTGGTAAAAGCATGAAGGAAAGTTTTTTTGATATTTTTATTTTCATGTTCTTTTTATTACTTTAAAATCATATTATTATTATAAATTGATATCAGAAAACCAACCGTATAACGTTGACTTGAATCTATATCTACTACAATACTATATCATCGTATCGTTTCAAATCTCAAATATCATGAATCGAGAAAATCTACTAGCATCCATCAATATATAGATTCAGAAAATATATAGATTCAATATCCGATATTGATCCTCGATATATAGATACGATTCGATACGCGGCAAAACCGATATTACCCACTCCTACCACCGCCCTGCCTATTTCTGCCGTGAAGCAGTAATGCGTTTCGGTTTGAAGGACGGGGCAGCGTTGTAACTATACTGAGACCAATTATTATAATTTGCAATAAAAAATTGTTCACTCTCCCCTAATCCACTCACTTGTGAGTAAGCGGTCCCACAAATGGATTGGCGAGTAGTTGCACCATCGCTTTGCTGGCGAACATTACTCCGACGGCGACTGTCTCGTGGATGAGCTCCTGATGACGGAATTCCTTCTCCGCGGTGATGTTGACTGGAAATTGGGATTTAATTTTTAAAAAGAAACCTCAAATAAGTGTTAAAACTGATAATAACTAACTTGGGTGAACTTAGGAAGGCAGTAGCTTTGAATGGCTCTCCTGTAACTTTGCAAAAATATCGCTTAAACCAGCCTTTCCCAAAGTGGGCGATAACGCCCCCTCATGGGCGCTGCAGGCCTAAAGGGGGGCGGTGAGAAATCCAGAAAAAAATGGGAGCGTTGTGTAGAGGCTTGAGAGGCGATTTTCAATTTCATCTAGGAGGACTCTTAGACACCGACTGAGCTCTCGCTATAGCTCGCTTTTAGGTACGTGAAAAAATAGGGGCACTAAAAAATAATTTCTTCTTAAAGTGGGCACTAGACAAAATAAGTTTGGGAACCCTTGGCTTAAACGAATTTCAACACTCGAATATAGACATATGTTATACAGAATTTAATAGAGTTTTAACTGCAGCTTTAGAGGAAGAGGTAGACCTAAGAAGAAATGGATGGATTGCGTGAAAGACGATATCTATACGAAAGGAGTGAGCGAAGAAATGGTATATGATAGAGGAGTATGGAAGGAGAAAACATGTTGCATCGACCCCAGGTGACTGTGAGAAGGGCAGGAGAATGATGAAGGACGGTGAACGAAAGAAGGTGGTAGGACGTCTTGTGAGTCCGCACTCTGCCTATTTCGGCCGTGAAGCAGTAATGTATTCCTGTTTGAAGGGTGGGGCAGCCGTTGTCTGAGACCTTAGAACTCACCTCTCAAGTTGAGTGTTGGGTATTTATGTAATAAATGCCTATGGACTCCGGCTCCCATTTAACCCCAAGCGAGTCATAAAAAGCAATAAAAAAGGGGCTATAATTTAATCTTATTGTTTCTTGAAGCGTGTGCGAATTTTCTAGTTAATCGGATGGCGCGAAGTCGGAGAGGATTACGTTCAAAGATTCCATCACATGTATGGACGGTACTACAAAATTTTATTTTGGATGCGAACCAGTTTTACGTTCCGTCTAGGTTAGATTTTACCAGAATAGTCTATGAGCCTGGTGGTAAGACCTCTTGTGAGTCCGCGCGGGTAGGTACCACCGCCCTGCCCATTTCTGCCGTGAAGCAGTAATGCGTTTCGGTTTGAAGGGTGGGGCAGCTGTTGTAACTACTAAAGACCTTAGAACTCATATCTCAAGGTGGGTGGCGGCATTTACGTTGTAAGTGTCTATGGGTTCCGGTACCACTTAACACCAGGTGGGCTGTGGGCTCGTTTGTCTGCCCATCGAAGCAATAATAAAAAAAAGCCTTCTTCCCAATCAGAATGCCAATGGCCATCGGACCCTATATTAGGGTTCCCTATGTTATTGGTACCAGAGACTGACATACATACTTACTTATATACATTTGAATATAAACATATATAGATGATACACACCCAGACAAAGAGTAAACAAATCTGTTCATCACACGAATGTTTGTCCAATGCGGGAATCAAACCCACGACCCTTGGCCTCAAAGTCATATCAAAGTAGAGATTCCATGACTTACTGTGTGTTACATTCTCGACGGTGACGGTTTCGTTCTTCTCCAGGCACGGGCAGTAGGGGGTGGGGGGAGGCGGCGTGGTCGTGACCTCGTCCAGGGAGAGCGACAGCGGAGCGTCCGGGTGCCGGATGTCGTACAGGAATTCCGGGATGATCGGCACTGAGTCGAGAAACTTTGAAATTAGAACTCCTGAGATCTATGCTCTCCTGGTAACTAGAATTGGTTTTCTCTTTCACAGTTCTTTCTTAGAGGCGCAGAAATCGGCAGATAACTGGTGGTAGGTAGGACCTCTTGTGAGTTTACTGGTGGTTGGTACCACCGCCCTGCTTATTTCTACCGTGAAGCAGTAATGCGTTTCGGTTTGAAGGGCGGGGCAGCCATTGCAACTATACTTGAGACCTTAGAACTTATATCTCAAGGTGGGTGGCGCATTTACGTTATAGCTGTCTATGAGCTCCAGTAACCACTTAACCGCAGGTGAGCTGTGAGCTCGTCCACCCTAATAAGCAATAAATAAAAAAATGGACTCTTCGATGACTACTCTTCGTTTACCCCCAGTCCCAAGTCCTGGAATTTAAGGACTTGATGTTTATTGAAGGTCTTGAGTATTGCTGAAGGCATAAGGTTGAAATCCCTGTTCAACCTGAGAGAGTTTGCTAACACTGGCCCTAGCAAGAGCAGTGCTTCGTTGAATCTACTACCGGATCGGAATCGCGACCCGCTGAGTATAGCAGATACACCCGCCCGGGTCAAGTCTCTTACCATAACAAAATAACGTATATATTATTCCCCGTGTGTGTGAAATTTCATGGAGCCGGCGAGAAAGTCATTGCGTTCCGTCTATAAGTTAGGACCAGTCCGATATCGGGTCGATTGTATCAGGAATTTACATGAAAAAGAATATTTAACAGAATATGTCCAACACAGACCATTGCTATGATGTTGCTTCGCTTAAAGAACGCCCTTGTTCTTTAAGATTTGGAATATTTAAAACTAGCAAATCTCGCTTATAAAATTACTTATCAAATAAATTTTAATGTTACAGTTTGTCATTTTTGAAGCGAAACTTCTTTAGGCGCGTTTAGAGTAAAATTAAACTCGCGACAGATTCGTTACGGCTAGAGAGAGAAGATATAATTTAGGACGAGCGAGAGTGAGAGAATAGACAGAGCGTCTCGCGAACTACTCGACCGTGTAGAGAGGGAGATGACACAGCGAGCTAGGACCTTTCTCTCATACACAGCATTCCCTATTACAAGAGAAATATGATTTAAGAATGAGAAATGAAGAAAACCACAATACTACACACCGCAAAAGAAGCTTCACTTCTTCCAGGTGCACCATTTTTTTACACGCTTTATATTAGCTTCACTTGTATGTATGTATGTATGTTTGTATGTTTGTAACTGACTCCTTTAGACGCGATTTTGACCCACTTTAAACGGCCATACTTTGTAGATTTCTCGAGGACCCTATGAAACATCAACATTTAAAAAAAAAATGAAAAAAAAAATTGAAAAAATTGAAATTCAGCTAAAAAATGAAAAATAAATAATAGTTTAAAAAAACTAAAAAAAGCGTGGGGTACATGGTGTTATTAGTTATAAATATTTTTCTGACAGATATGAGTAGAAGAATTATTATTACAATAATATCTTAAAAAGCACCCCACGCTTTTCTTACAATAAAATATAATATTTCTTTTTTAAACTATTTTCAATTTAAATTTATTAAAATTTATTTTCTATCTTCTAAGTTGAATTTTATATAAAGCGTGTTTTTTTAGTTTTTTTTTAACTATTATTTATTCTTTTCTTCTTAACATTAAACGACTTTTATATAGACTCCGCGGACAAAATAAGGCGTTATCTCCTAAGCTAGGGACAAACGTAGTAAAAAGGTATTCCAGTTTGACTTTATCTTTCCAGTTCAAAGAATTTATGCGGGCGGGAGTCACCTCCCAAATGATTACGTAGCGAAATTTTAAATAATTCGTAAATTTATATAAAAACTAGTGGTCCCCCAGTAGTTAATATTCAGCTATATTGAATTGAAATTATAAGTTTCAAAATTATTATGGTTATATTGTCAAAGACAGATTATACTTCTATAATCATAGATTTCGCCAAGACTACACTATAGAGAAATAATAATATTAAAGACAAACAGTATTAATCTATTCTCAATTTTACAACAGACTGTAACAATAACAAAAGTTTGACAATAAACAAAGAGTATATATGTGTGTGTAATGTTTTTTTTATTGATTTAATGCATTTTTTATGCATAATTAAAAAAAATTACATTCAGCACACCTCTATATTCTCTATAAGTGTGGGATATTTCATACTCCTCCGTCCGCGCAATTTTCGTAATAAGGGGTACAAAGTTTTTGTTTCACGTATTAATATAAAGATAATTATGAACCAATCAATTCTAGCTTATTTTTATTTTATTTTATTTACGAAAACTATTAATTCGTGGTTGGAATTCAGTCGTAACACAAATTTTTACAGTTAGATCTAATCTTTTCATATTTTTGTCGATTTTTGGGAATATGATGGAAATGTAGGAGCTTTGAAAGCGATCTATGAGAAAAATAAGGAACCTTTGGTCTAAATGATCAGGCCGCAAATGAGGTAGATTTTATAATATGAACTACGCGACATTTTCTTCAGTTTTCGCGTAACACAAATAATGAGGGCCACTTTTGCCGCCCATAATTGTAAAAGCTCTTTAGAAACAATATCGAGGGATGAAAGGCGAACATTTCCCTTAGCACGCGACATTTATATTTATAATTAAAGGTCCGTTTTATTTGGTATTAGTATTAACAGTTCCATGTTTTTAATGGAACTTAAAGGAATATTGAACATTATATGGCTCTCCTGTAAATTTGCAATAATGTTGCTTTAATCAAATAGCATTTCAGCTCTGGATATAAAATGTCTGAAACGTGTTTTTAAACCGTAAAATTACTTAAGTATGTACATATTATAATATATCATGAATTACGCAATTAGTCGAAGGAAGAGCATTGAGTACGGGACATCGCCGACAAGATGCAGGAGAGTAGGCTGAGATGGTATGGTCACGTGAAAAGGAAGCCGCCTGACTACGTTGGAAATTTGGCGCTACTGCTCGACCTCCCCGGTCGGAGACCTAGAGGTAGACCCAAGACAAGGTGGAGGGACGTAGTGCTGAAGGACAAGAGAGAATGCAATGTTGCTGACGAGGATGTCGAAGACAGAGCGAAGTGGAGGTGTACAGTCAGGAAAGCTGACCCCACCACCGTGTGGGATAAATAGCTGGGAAGGGAGAGAGAGAGAGAGAGAAGAGCATTGAGGCCTCGACCTCACAAAGTATTGAGCTGATGCAGCAGGGTCGTGGAATTCAAATCATAAAACTTCAACAATGGATTGGTACGTAAAACTACATATACGCGTTTTACAACGCTTCCAGATGTACAAGCCATTAAAAGCTCTGCGATTTTATGGCGTCCTGGTACTTCAATGTCGTATATACGTGAAAACTTACCATCGTTTTGATGGTAAGTGGATACCGTCCAGTATTTTAAGGTCGTCGTTCTTCCAATTTTAGATTGGAAGACGTCTTTTTCAATGATAAATGTTTGAAGGATCGTCAATATTGACATGATGAAAAAACAGCATTAAGGCTTCGACCTCACAAAGTATTGAGCTGATGCAGCACGGTCGTGGAATTCAAATCATAAAACTTCAATTATAATAGATTGAGACGTAAAACTACACATACGCGTTTTACAACCCTTCCAGATGTACTACTTACTCATTCAAAGTTCTTCGAATTTATGGCGTCCTGTTACTCATAGTCATATATACGTAAAAACTTACCATCGTTTTGATGGTAAGTGGGTAACGTCCAATAAAATTGCCGTTTTTCCAAATTTAGATTGGAAGACGTCTTTTCCAACGGTAAATGTCTGAAGGATCGTTGTATGTGAGACGTTATTCCCGGCTCGGTAGTTTGGTTTTAGCCGGTTAGCTTCGTGACACACACACTAGGTCTGGACAAACCAATCGATCCCTGATCGGGGATGGATACAGAACTTGTCCAGCAAGGTATCCTAGGTCCCCGATGTACGTCTAGGATTCAACAAATTGTGTAAACGCACATACGCACCTGGGACTGCCACTGGAGCTCCTGGACGCGTGCACTGTTCTAGAATCACTAGGCCTTTGTTAATGAATTATAATTTAACTTCACCCGCGGTCGTCGAATTCGGTTATGTTTAATTATTCTAGATTTGGTTGCGTGTTGCTCGGCTCCCGTTCGTAATCGATGTGTGTGTGCATGCGATGTAGCTTCGCTGTCATTTGATGGATCCGAACGTGGAGATCGATTGGCGTTGTAAAATGTCAGATTTAAAATTTGCCGCGAAGACGGCACAATCGTCAATATTGACATGATGAAGAAGCAGCATTAAGGCTTCGACCTCACAAAGTATTGAGCTGATGCAGCACGGTCGTGGAATTCAAATCATAAAACTTCAACAATGGATTGGGACGTAAAACTACACATACGCGTTTTACAACCCTTCCAGATGTACTAGCCATTAAAAGCTCTGCTATTTTATGGCGTCCTGGTACGTCAATGTCGTATATACGTGAAAACTAAGCGTCGTTTTGATGGTAAGTGGGATATAAGATCGTCGTTTTGCCATACTTAGATTGGAAAACGTCTTTTTCAACGGTAAATGTTTGGAGGATCCTCAATACTGCCATGATGAAGGACGAGCATTAAGGCCTCGACCTCACAAAGCATTACGCTGACGCACCAGGATAGTGGAATTCCAATCATAAAACCTGAACAATGAATTGGGACGTAAAACTACACATACGCGTTTTACAACCCTTCCAGAGATCCATTCAAAGCTCTTTGAATTTATGGCGTCCTGGTACTCAAAATTGTAGATAGATGAAAACTTACCATCGTTTTGATGGAAAGTGGGTACTATCTAATAAAGTTGCTGTTTTTCCAAATTTAGATTGGAAGACGTATTTTTCAATGGTAAATGTCTGAAGGATCGTCAATACTGCCATTCTTTTTTCCTACCTATGCTGATAGCCTTGAGAGGCTATTTCAGCTTCACCCTAACATGTAGGTGAGCTCACGGGGCT